AACAATTTCCTAAAATCAAATTCATAAAGTGGTTCTTCCTTTTGTTTTAGTATTTTTCCTTCACATTGTAGACTTTTCTCATTACTTGGGTGGTTGCTAAATTTTCTTGGCAAGAATTAAGCTATTTTTCTCTAGGGATTGTTTGGTGGAGGAAAAAAATCACCACTAAAAACACTGTAGAGAAGTAGTTATTTCATTTGAATCTGTTCCAAATATTCTAACAACCTAAGGTATAATGAACTTGCATTGTCTGTCATTTAAAACAGTGATGATGTAAAAAGCTACAACTCTGTCTGCACATATAAGTGGGAAATATTTCTGATAGAAGAACTCCATAGGTTTGTGAAAACTCAAGTTTGTGTCCTGGCTGGAGACTCTCTTTTAGCAACGTCTAGTTCTATAGATATTTGCATTGTATGTGTGTTATTATTGTTGATACATCCTTCATTGTTAGTCAGACTTTATTAAAGCTCCTAATTTTCTTAGTAATGTTTGGAGTTGTGAAGGCATTCTTTTAAAGAGGAACTAAATGGTTTTTGGATAGGCAATGTAAAGTCAAAAGAATTCTACTCCGGTCTGTGTGAGAAGTCCACTGCTAACCAGGTAACAAAGCATTTACCTTGTTAGTTACAGAGCTTAAGGTGTGAGTATTACTCTAAAGACTCAGAGTAAAGATTTTCTATGTTGCTTCATCATAAGTGACTACAAAGAGAAAAAAATTCAATTCACTTTGTTCAAGGTTTTTGTTTTGTGTTTTTGGTGTGTGTATAGTTGTGCCAATAAATAATAAATTTGGGCAGGGTAATTTCCATTAATTTGTTCAGCTTTACAGTTAAGTAAACTTCATTTTGCAATATTGATATTATTTTTAAGTGTCAATATTTTTGGCATACATTTGTTTATATCCACACTTATCTGAAAACAAAGCAAAGCAAAACAACAACAACAACCCCCTGAGATTAGTAGAAAAGCTGTGTGGAAGTATGAAATATGTAGAAAATTAAATCTACTTGTAGACTCTTTCATTATGCATTACCATATATTCTATGGTTGCAGATAAATACATGAATCCAACATTAATGAAAGAAGCACTGATTGTCAAGACCAAGGATAAGACCCAAGGGGTGAGTTTTTGAAACTTCTGACAAAGAACACTCATTAAAAACGCATATGATGTATTAAGACATAGCTTACGCCTTAAATATATTTCTTTAGCATAATCCCATTTGTAAAATTTAGCTGAACAAAGTAGATGTCAACCAACCAGGAGTTACAAAATTTGGTGACCTTTAGTAGTTTGCCTTAATAAATGTTTCTCATCCATTTGCCAAATAACAAGATAAACATGTTATGCATTACAAATAAGTCAATCGATCTGTAATCTTGACTCATGGGATTTGTAAATAACTTGAATGAATTTGAAATAGAGGATTTAAACTATACATAATTTATAGTGTGACAGGGTATAAAGCATAAATGCCTCTTAGGTCTAAAAACTTGATATGTGTTTTAATGTGTGAATATTTAAATTGATGACAGCCACCATTTTAGTGTATCTATCAAAAGAAACTGTGATCAGGAAGCATCTTTCCTACTGCCAATTAGAAAGACATAAAATTGCAATTGTAATGAAGTATAGGATGTCTTTTTGTTACTGTTATTTTAATTTCTATTTTTAAAAGTCATGTTAATTTAAAATATGCTCATCTTTTCTAGGAACTTTTTAATGATCTAAAAGTCTATTAATATTATTTTTCATTTTGTTTATAGTGTCAAAACTTTGGTGATTGAAACTATAGTGGATAGTTTACATATCTGATTTTCACATGTAAATAATTTAGCTGGACAATAGAAGATTCATCCCAGTGTAAACCAGCACTAATTGTTGAGAAGATTAAAGAAACTAGACTCTACCGAAAGTAAGTAGTTAAAAATAATTAGGTATACGCTATTATATGTCCTGCTTTTTCAACAGCTTTATCACTCTCTAGCTTAAAAATGATGTAATACCTGTGTTACCCAGCCTACCAAAATGCTCCTTGGAGCTGGTTTCTAAAGAAAAGCTCAAGAATGCGCCCATTTCCCACTCTTCCTTGAAAACCCAACTGATGTAAATGAAGTCAGCTCATCATTATGTGAAGTTTAGTAATTCAACATTTTTTTCTAATATGAATAATCCTAAAGTGTCTATGTATCATCTACTTATGTATCCATCTCTCATGTGTCTGTATCTATCTGTATATCTATCTATTCTTCTCCTCTCCCTTTTTTGAGTTTGTGTTTAATTATGGGGCTGGGAACTCTGATGAATCGATGCTTTTTGCCTTTTTGCTTTTGAATTTAAATTATCCCTCCCCCCTGCTTTCCTTCCTTTTTTTCCTCTCCTTTCTTTTCCTTTCCTGTCCTCTTCTTCTTCCTTTGTTTTTACCCCCCCTCCCCTTCTCTCAGTTGGTCTCTGTTTATTTGTTATGGCTTCTAAGAAGCCATTGAGTAAGTCCAGGGATCCTTAGGAGGTTGAAAATAACAATCTTTCATTAAAAGAAATCTTGAAAAAGATTTCTTAAAACTACTGTCCCTATTTATCACCTTCTTATTCCTATTATTTCTGTATATTCATTTCTCTGCTTCCCGTTTGATTCTTCAATTCTTTAATTTTCTGCTCTTTAGGTCTGCGTTTGATGCATGGTTAACTTATTTTTAGTGTATTTTGTTTGCTACTTTTCAGTAGACATACTATGATATAATGGATAATGTTTGCAATGCCCAGTTATATCTTATATCTGAAAATTGGCCTAATATTATTGTATAAGTCACATACTCATTATTAAATTGACAAAAACTCCATATAGTTTCTTCTGATCCAGAGTATGCAGTGGAATATTCAACAGTAATAGTTATCATTCATTGGCCTTTAGCAGGTGCCAGGGGAGAAAACTGTGACTTTGTACTCCTGTAAAGGGTCAGAAACCCATAGGGGCAGGTCTACCCTGTCCTATAGCGTCTCTGTGAGTCAGCATCTACTTGATGGCCATGAGTTTTGGGTTTTGGTTTATTAGATGCCAGGAAGTGTTCTAGGCACTTTACACCTAAAAAGGCATGCAAAACAAAACAAAACAAAAAAACAAGTGAACAAACAAAGACATGCGTTCGTGCATTAGTATCTTCATTTTATTAATTAGGAAATTGAAGCACAAAGGAATTTATGTTCATTGAGTTGCCCAAGGTCCCACGGACAGTCTGTGATGCAGGTGGAATTCAAACACAGGCCGTGTCACTGCGGAGCAGACATTCTTCCCTGTCCTAGGCTGTCTCTTTAGAGATGTCCTGGGTCTTCCAGAGGTACCCATTGAGTGAGAAACTTTCATCATTATTTGGTCATTGTAACAATCAAATTCACTACTAGTATTTTTAAAGTAGCTGTGATGAGCTTGAAAATGGTTGCTTAATTGTATATAAACATAAATATTTATGTAAGTTAGGGTTTGAATGATAACATCACACATAGTTGGACTGGGAAGAATACTGGTGTGATCTACTTCAATCTATTTATTTCCCAATAAATGAACTGGGAAAAATTTTGAATAAATTAAAAAATGGCCATTATTCCTAACTCCTTACATTGAGTTTGACTTTTCTCTTGAGTATGCTCCTTTTTGGAATCTTGGCAATTTTGGCCACTCTTGGCGCTTCCAAACCAAGAAAAAAAACACCCCTACACCTTGACACACACACAACACAAAAACTACCCTCCCTTCCATTGAGTCAGTTCTGACTCATATCAGTCCTATGGGACAGAGATCTGCCCCTCAGGGTTCCTTGAGTAGATGTCAGTAAAGAAGCAGAGAACCTTTTATCTTCCTTCCAGGGAGTGGCTAATGGTTTCGAAATGCTAACATTGTTGTTAGAAGCCCAACACATAAACCATTAAGCCATCAGGGCTCCATTCGCCATGCCTAAAAATAATATATAAAATTATATTCCACCATCATCTACCTCACTTTATAGTGTCTCTTTTTTGCACACCTCATACTCAGGTCATTCAACTAATTAGAAAACAATGCCGAGTGCTACAATACTAATTATTGATTATAATGGGTCAGTTACATTCAGTTCAAATTGTCTAAGATGTATTTTATAATGTAAATGTACTCACCAGAAACACCACCAAAGTACTGATTCTACAACAATAGTGTACAGAGTATGTTAAGAGTTGTGAGATAGGCAAGAGAAAAGTAATTGAATTTTGTCCCTTAATAAACTGATAGACAATGTGTGTCCAAATAATTGTGATGGGGATAATGTGCTAAAGATTTTGTAGTTATCTAATACATTTCACAGGATAGTTTCTTCAAATTTAATGAGTCACAAAGACTAAATTAAATGGGAAGCAGAAAGGACAGCACATATAACAGGGTATTACCACAACAGATAGTGAGTAATTCCTGAAGAGGCCTTATTTTTGGTGATACACCGATCACATTGTGGATACTCACTGCTGATTTTATGACAACTTACTGTCAAAACCAAATGTTAAAGTGCTCCTTAAATGTAATTTATTTATTTAGAATTTTATTTATCACCAGAATATGTTCATTTAAACACAAATTCTTTCTTCTCTTTGTCATAAATGACTACTTTCCTTACCACCAACTATTTTAAAAACCAAGTATTACAAGAATTAATGACTTTTAGGTATCTAACTGGTCCTTTCTGAAGAAGACACATTAAGATTTAGACGTAGAGCATCTAGTTAAGCCCAATCCATTCATCTGAGAAGATATAGAATTATCAAGGGACAAAATAATGCAATTTTGGAAGACAAATTCAGTCAAATTTTTCCAAATATTTATTATGAATAAACCACTGCAGATGACTTACTTGTGAGGAAGTACTCCATTATATAATTGATACATTCAGAATGGGGTTCATAATTTCATGATTGCTTTACAGGTGTTCTTCTCCTGAGCTCCCATCACTGAAACAGACCTTGTTATCAGTAAATGAAGAATAATGTAACAGAATTTGTCCTCCTGGGACTCACGCAGGATCCTGAAGGCCAAAAGGCACTATTTGTCTTGTTTTTGCTCATCTACATTGTGACAATGGTGGGGAACCTGCTGATTGTCATGACTGTTTTTGCAAGTCCCTCCTTGGACTCCCCCATGTACTTCTTCCTTGCTTATCTGTCATTCATGGATGCTGTTTATTCTACTGCCGTTTCCCCCAAAATGATTGCAGACTTACTCTGTGATAAAAAGACAATTTCCTTCCCAGCGTGCATGGGCCAGCTCTTTATAGAACATTTATTTGGGGGTGCTGAAGTCTTTCTTCTGGTGGCAATGGCCCATGATCGCTATGTGGCCATCTGCAAGCCACTGCACTACATGACCATTATGAATCGACAAGTTTGCATCCTGTGGTTGATGGTGGCCTGGGTGGGAGGGTTTTTGCATTCTATAGTTCAACTCCTCTTTGTGTATAGACTCCCCTTCTGTGGCCCTAATGTCATTGATCACTTCATTTGCGACATGTACCCCTTATTGGAACTTGCTTGCACCGACACCTACTTTGTAGGCCTCACTGTGGTGGCCAATGGTGGAGCCATCTGTATGGTCATCTTTATCCTTCTACTAATCTCTTATGGGGTCATCCTAAACTCCCTGAAGACTCACAGTCAAGAAGGGAGGCGCAAAGCTCTGTCGACCTGTAGCTCCCACATCACAGTGCTTGTCCTCTTTTTCGTCCCCTGTATTTTCATATATGTTCGACCAGTTTCCAACTTTCCCATTGATAAATCTGTGTCTGTGGTTTTTACCATGGTCACTCCTATGTTGAATCCTCTGATATACACCTTGAGAAATTCTGAGATGAAAAATGCTATAGAAAAACTCTGGAGGAAAAAGTTAATCAAAGGCAGAATAAGAATATGCACCCAGAATGAAAATATCATTGCTAATTCTAATGCAACACACTTTGATAATAAAGTATCACAATGAGGTGGTTAGTCAGTTCAGTGGATGCTCTAGGAAGGCTTCTCTTTGTACTTGTAAAGGCACTCCATATGTAGGATAAACTATTCTTGAGGTTAGAATGAATATAATGGAGAAATTCTATAGGATTGAAAAAGAGGTCCAGGCATTTTTCCTGTTATAAATAGAAATATAAAACTAAGCTTACATTATAATCTTATTTTTACTAAAATGCATAGAAATGAGACTTGAACAGTTTATTTTATTTTAAAAGAGAATAAAACAAGTTACTTCAGAAATTTTACTATCTGCTAGAGTAATGAGAAAAAAATAGACTAATATTTACAAGAAATTTATGGAATCAAAAGAGTGGTTTAAAAATTTCTTATTCATTATTCTATTAGCACAATAAATCTCTTTAGCTGTATTATGCACTTCTTGTTTAAAATTACTTCTATTTCACAATACTACCCAAAGTGATTTATTAATGCAATGATATACTGATCCAACTTCCAACAGCATTCTTTAATGGAATATAGAAAGCAATCACCAATTTTATATGGAAAGGAGCCCCCGGCAGTCAGGTTATCCTAATAGTGACCTTATATAGAGTTTGCAAGTCTGTTCCTTTTTTTTTTTTTAAACAGGGCAGATAGCCTAGCCTCATTTTTCTCCTGCAGGGCAGCTGGGATATTTGAAGGATCGACCTTGCGGTTATCAGCCCCATGCTTACCCAACAGAACCATTAGAAGTACATATAGCTAAAGCATTATTGAAGAATAAGAACAAAGTAGGACATTTCACACTTATCACAATTCTCAGAACCTAATGCATTGTTTCAGTAGTCAAAAGGCCACAATTTAGACCAATGGTACAGAGCTAAGAATCCAGAAATAATTCTATCTGGCTCTGAACAGCAGGTCTTTGAGAAACGATCAAATCCATCAGATGAGGAAGAAATTTTCTATTTATCGAATTGTGCTGTCAATACTGGATATCCATTTTCAGGAACATGAAACAAGGTCCATTTCTCACACCATCCATATAAATAAACCAAAAATGGATCAAATACATAAATTTCAAACTGACAACGGTAAAGTTCATGGTTGAAAATATAAGAACAAAGATGCTTCCAAATATATGCTATAAACAGGCTATTAGACACAACTAGCTATGCACAAACAGCAAAAGATAGACTAGATAATGAGGAGCCACTAAAACATATATGTGTGTTCCTCAAAAGTCTTCAGCAAATGAGTAAAGAGAACTTACATATTGGGAAAACTTTTTGGCAAACACATACCTAACAGGGGTCTAATGTAGAAACTATATGCAAAATGTCCAAAGTACAAGAGAGAGATAACAATCCAATTAAAGGGGTGATAAAAGACACTTCACACACACAAAATGAATTCTGGTGGCTAACAAACCCTTGAAGAAATGCTTGCGATGACTCGTCATTAGAGACTCAAATAAAAACGTCAATGAGATACCATCTCACCCTACACTGATGAAAAATAGGTAAGACCACAAATGCTGGTAAGACTGTAGTAAAATGGAAACTTTTATGCACTGCTGGTGAGATTTAAGATGGTACAATCACTAAAAAAAATTCTATAGCACTTCTTTAAAAAGCTAGAAGTAGAAACATCATGTAAGCCAACAAATCCATTCTTAGGAATATAATTATATCCTAAAGAACTAGGAGCCATGACATGAATAAACATATGCACACTCACGTTCACTGCCACATTATTCACAATAGCAAGAATGTGGAATCATGTAGCTGCCCATCAACAGTTGAATAGATAAACTGTAGCACTTGTATGCAATGAAATATTAAACAATAAAAATTAATGTATCTAGGAAACAGTTCTCAACATGGATGTGTCTCGAGGACATTTTATATAGTGACATATGTCAACACAAAAAGTAAATATTATATAAACCCTTATTTTAAAAAAATATGATGCGGGAACCTGCAGGCCCTCCGGTCTGCATTCCCTCTCTTGGCCAACAGGGGTTCCCCAGTTCTGCACCTGGGGGTTTCACCCCCACTTCTCCAAGGTTCTTTCCACATGTTTTTTCATGCCCAGTTGCAAACTCCCGCACAGCTCCTGTGAGGCCTTGCATGCCTTCCAGAAAGAGCATGTATTTTTGAGACTGTAATACCGGAAACTATCTCTTTCTTTCATAAACACTCACTTGCATTACAATATGTGCTTCTGCTGCATGAATTCTTTCAGTGCCGCAAAGTAAGAACCCAGATACCCCAGTCCAGGAACCGAACAGAATGATATGATATATGTATTTGTTAGATCTCTCAGGGGAGAGGTACACCTTGGTCCTTGGCTCTTCGCGAGAAAGAATTCATGATGAAGCCTGGTTTGTGATCCAAGTGAGTTTATAGAGAATAGAGCCAGTCTCAGATTCTACAGTAAATGGAGCACAAGCCAGACAGAGTGCGAGGCCCAGTGGTGGGACTGCGGCCTGGCTGCTCCAGATCACAGCCTGGCTGTGCTAAATCCTGTAGTAGCCCCAGGGAAAGACAGAGAGGGCGCCCAATCAAAACCTCTGGTCTTTTCAGGAGCGCCGATGGGAGGTGTGGTCCACAATACTGGTCGACCCCATTGGCTGAATCAAATTCACCTGGCTTAGATGGGCCAATCCAGATGTAACGCCCACCTAGGTGTACCACCCCTTCCAGGCCAGAAGCTCGAACCTCTGAGCATGCCCAAGCCCTATGCTAGCTACCTGATCTATGAATAATTCCAATGAATAATATTTTAAAAAGGAAAACCAGATAGGTTACCAGGGATGGAAAGGAGGGAAGGTGAAACTAAGGCGATAGTAGATGTGTTAATGCTGGTGAAGGGAAAGGCAGGACACAATGTGGAGGAATTTACAGTATGACCAGCAAAGGAAGACACAGTGAGGCATATAATAAAAAAGGCCAAATATAGTAAATGTTATAACAATAGTAATAACAAACAATAATTTGTGAGTAGATGTTCAAGCAGATATGCATATTAAATCAGCGTGGGAGGTCAAATGGAACCACACTAGCGTTCACATTTAGAAACGCTTGTAGAATTTAATAGGTACAGCAATGAAAACATACACAGATTCAAATGTGTTGTTGCTAGGTGACACTGAGTTGGTTCTCACTCTTAATGACCTTTTTCACACCAGAAGAAAACACTGCCAGGTCCTGTGTCAACCGCACAATTGTTCTTATGTTAGACCCAAGAGTTTGTAGACACTGTCAGTCCATCTTGTCAAGGGCCTTCCACTTTTTTGCTGCCCTTCTACTTGACCAAGCATGATCTCCTTCTCCATTGATTGATCTCTTATGATAACATATCTACAATATGTGAGATGAAGTTTCTCCACCCATGTCTCTAAGGAGCATTTTGGGGTAACTTCTTCCAAGATAGCAACCCTATGCGCAACGAAAGGAAACACTGTCTGATCCTATGATAGCCTCACAACCATTGCAATCCTTGAGACTATTGTTGCCGTCATTGTGTCAATCCCTAACTTGGAGTCTTCCTCATTTTCATTTACCTTCTGTTTACGAAGTCTGATGTCATTTTCGTGGGACTGGTGCCTCCTGAGGTTATGTCCAAATTATGGAACAGCTTTGCCATCCTCACTTTTAAGAAGAATTTCACACAGTAAAGCACCTGTTCATATTCAGTAAAACACAATTAAAAATATTTCTAATAGTTCCCCTTCAATAATGAAGGTCATATTAGGCATCCCCTCCCACCCCCCATCCCCCATAAAAAATCTGGCTTCATCCTAGATGAACATTTGCTGGAGAACAAAACCCTCAGCCCCTAGTTATTCACCAAATCAGCCATGAGTTTATCAGCTTCTTTTTTATTTGTGCTCACATTTTCCAAGTGCCTCACCACACTGTGCTTGCCTGTTCTATTTTTGAATTTTTCAAGCCAGTCGTGGCTGGCTGTGAAAACTTGGGACAGTTCAGCACTTGCTCCTGCAACGTTTTCATTAAATCACTGTGGAAGCTGTTAGCCTTCTTGCATATCATTTTCTCTGATATTCTGTCACCATTGAGCTGTTTCTGATTTATCCAAATTAACAGTACCTTTTCAACCTCTTTGATGGTCTGGGTTCTATGTTTCATAGCTAATGATTTCATACCTTTCAATACATTAACCACTTTAATCACAGCCCTCCCACCCCAAATGCTTATCATGTTGGCTCAGCCATGTACTCAACTGCACAATAAGACAGGATTTCTTTCTTTAACTTTATCGTGGTTCTTGTATTTTTCTTCTTAGCTTTGTTGTTGGTTTCACTACCTTTCCTTGAGCCATGGTTATAATATTTTATGCAAACAAAGCACAATAATAATCATAAGAAGAAGCACAAGAGAGCAGTATTTAGACTGAAGTGTCACTCTTTAGTGTCTGTGGTGAGATACCAAAGGAGACTTACTCTCAACCTGTAGATGAATTTTTCAAGTTGAATTTTCTGCTGGACTATCAAGCAACGCTATGAACACCAAGCAGATTTTTTTTCAAACTTTACGAGTACTTCAAGCTTGGTGCAGTTCAACAACCGAGGTATCACTGTACTACAGATTGGTGTCTTAGACAACTGATGTGTAGTTTTCCATAGCTCTGGAGACTAAGTCTCAGAAATAGGGAAATAGGGAAGGACCCAAACACTGAAGACTTCAATCCTTGATCTTGATCAGAAAGGGCTTCAAGACCTCCTCACTTCCAGCAAGCAAGGTTGTGTTGCCTGCATATCACAGGTTATTGATAAACCTGACAGTAGGATTGATCAATACTTTTCCTGTTTTACACAATGTTACTCTAAAGGCCAAATCAAGAGCAACCTAACCATAACAAATAAAAATGGAAGGAGATCTCACAGTCATGGATCACAAGATTCAATATTGTCATCATGTCAATATTTCAATGTTTGCTACAGAAATATATAAATGCAATAATTTTCCTCCTAAACATTCCAACCACCTTCCTTAAAAAATA